TGTTGTTTTGATCTTTGTTTCACAAGGATTTCTTGACTCTGTTGTTGAACCTTTTTTTTTCCTCCTAATAATTTTCTTGTAAAAAAACAAATATTGCAGGTGTTGCTCATTACACGTTTTCTGCAACATGAGCATCATCTCGGCCGACCCATCAACCAAGTAAACTCATTTTTTCCCTTTTTCTTTATTTCTGTTCAGTTACTTGATATCTTGTCTATATATCTCCTAACCAGTTTACTTATCATTGGAAAATTACATTTATTCTATATATCAAATTACTATTATCTTTTTTATACATTTATTCTATATACCAAAAGATTATTATTTTTCATTCTTTTTTATAGTTCCATTGCATGGGAACATATATGTATATATATATACACACTACTGAGGTGAATTTACGTGTTTAGTCCATATAAAAAAAAGGTGTCTGTCTTTGCATGGGAAACAAACTGATGTAGAATAAAGAAAACAAAGTAAACAAATGAGAACAAAATTAAAAATCATGGATTTCAATTAACTCTCAAAATGCTCAATGTATGATAATTAATCATCATTGTGGGGTTGTCCTTAAATCATAATAGAGCATTCTTTATACAGGCACTGGACCTTACGTCTAAATGGGAAAACTAATCCTTTTTCTACCAGGAAAAAGAATTCTCATTTTTTTTTTAATTTTCTTATCAATATTTTCGTATTTTATTAATTTTATATTATGTCATTATTATATTAAAAATTTTTGATCTACTCTGGGGTTCCAGATTCTAGGCTTTTTGGTTAAGTATCTCCCTCTTTATATTTACGGGAGTTTGACAACTTTATTTATATTTTGATAGACATGTAAATAATCTGTAAATAGTTTTGAACTCCCTTGGTGTCTATTAGTGCTATTTTACTTTTTTGCTTTTCAAAAACAATTATGCAGTCGGGGCAAATTGGTTTGACAAAGTTATCCCTTCTCCGCTCTATGACCATTCTGTTAGATAGTTGATTTTTTTAATTGTGTAAAATTACTTGTGGCTTGATGTGCTGTTGTTAGGGGCTCATATTAGAAATTTTGTTCATGTCATCCTTTTCTGATTTTATTCTATATTGTATTTTTTATGGAAAAAGTTCTAGCCTTATGAGAAATTTATTTTTGCCCCCACAGAATTTTGGAAGCCTTCTGATGGATTTTCTTTACTTCTTTGGGTGAGTCAAAGCTGATGATACCGTTTCAACATTTAATAGTTCAAAGCTGGTTGTTGCAGCTGAATTTTCCACTGTATTTTGAAAATATTGATCATTGCATACAGACATATGCTTTGTTAAATAATACTCTCATTGTACAGGAATGTCTTTGATCCTCGCCAAATGCGTGTATCTGTGCAAGGAAGTGGAATCTATGTCAACCGTGTTAGGGGTTATAGGTAATGGTGATTCTTGCTTTCCTGCTTCAAAATCTGCATAAAATGTGGTTTTTCCTTGAATTGTTACTTCTCTATCATATATTAATGATCAACTGCATAATGTTACAGCATTGATCCATTACACATTGATGATCCTCTTTTTCCGACAAATAATGTTGGGAGAAATTGCTTCCGAATACATCAGTGTATAAAGGTAAACCCATGACCTTTGCTGCATGTATTATACTCTGATGGGTTAACCTGTTATAGCTGTTAGGCTTTTCTAAATTCAGAATTGACTTGCATTGTGATATGTTGAATCACCTTCTATTTTAAGCTTAACCATTAAAGTAACTGCAAACTTCAATGTGCCTCAATGAAAAATGTTTTCCTGTAGTCGCACATATGTTTCTTTTTGATAGATTTAGGCACTTGGAGCCTGGGAAAATATTGGCACATTTAACATGGTCTATAACTGTAAATTAAAGTGGTTTCTTGCAAGATTTGGAACTCAACAGTTTGGAATGCTGGGCTAGAGGAAATACTGCAAGAATTGCATGTGAAAGAAAAATTGTTTTACGCTTGTTTTTAAGAAAGTAAGACTTTGGAAATTGAATCAGGCTTCAAGTAAAAGCAAGGAGCCTTACTTCAGATGTCTAATAACACACATCAAGAGAAGTTGTCGTTCTGAGTGAAATGATATGGGATACCAAATGTAGATTTAAAGGCTTAATATATGGTAACATGTGAGACATTATGGCAGGTGAATCAAAAGTTCGCAACGAATCCTAATTTCACAATTTCCATTTAAGCATGCGTTGGCAACCCCTT